ACGAACAATTTATTGTTGTGAGAATAATGAGAAGGCTTACCAATGTGGTAGCCCTAGGTGTCATATATATAAGAAAATATGTCCTGAATACATTAGGAAACTTAATAAAGATGGAAAGCTAATTAATGGAATTAATTACTCTATTACACCCCCTCAAGCTGTGCAGGAGAAACAATGCGCAGATTGTCTCTAAGAAAAATAAAACGCTGTGGTGACAGGCATTTAGTGAGAATATCTGCCAACTGGAACTGAGTAGGAACATAGCGAACAACCAGATCTCCATGCGAAACTCTCTCTCGAACAAAGTGATAGTCAATGCTGATGTGCTTGCTCCTGGCATGCGGAATAGGATTAGTGGACAAGTATGAAACAGAAACATTGTCACACAATAACTGGACTGGTTCTCGAATGGTGATGCCTAGCTCGAACAAGATGGATCGAATATGCAGTGTGTCCTGAACTGTGTAAGCAATAGTTCTATATTCAGCCTCTGTAGAAGATCGGGAGACAGTAGTTTTTTTTTTTGGCTGGTCCGGGAGACAGTAGGTTGCTTCGTGGACTTCCATGAGATCAAATTCGGACCCAAGAAAACAGCAAACCTAGAAGTAGACCGGCTACTGTCAGGATAACCAACCCAATCAGCATCAGAATAAGTCTGCAAAGTAGGAGAATAAATGCTGGACTGAAGAAGCAAGCCGTGAGCTGCAGACCCCTGTAGATACCTGAAAATACGCTTAACAGCCAATAAATGAGTAGTACGAAGTGCATGCATAAATTGGGAGACCAGGTGAACAGCAAATGTAATATCAGGTCGAGTCATAGACAAATAGTGCAGAGCACCTACCATACTTCTGTACTCAGTAGGATCTGCAAGAGGGTCCCCATCAGTGAGAGACAACTTAGTTCGAGTAGGAAGTGGAGTACGAACAGGTTTAAGAGTGTGGAGGTGAAACCTAGTTAACAGACCAAACACATATTTTTGTTTAGAAAGAAACAGACCTGAGTTTGTTCGAACAACCTGGACACCTAGGAAAAAATGTAAATTCCCCTAAATCCTTCATGGCAAAACAACGGCCAAGACACGAAATAAAAGTGGAGATAAAGGAAGGGGAATTACCAGTGATAATAATGTCATCCACATGCAACAGAAGATACAGAATATGAGGCCCATGGCGGTAAATAAATAGAGAATTATCAGACTTACTACAGACAAAACCATGAGTTAATAGAAAACTGCTAAACGAATAAAACCAAGCTCCGGGAGCTTGTTTAAGACCATAGATAGTCTTCCTGAGTCTGCTAACATGATTAGGAAATTGAGAATGAACAAACCCAGGAGGCTGACGCATATAAACTTCTTCCGTTAGATTGCCATGAAGAAAAGCATTTTTGACATCCAACTGGCGAATTGACCACTTATACGAGACAGCAATAGATAAAACAATATGAATAGTAGTAGGTTTAACAACAGGACTAATAGTCTTAGGAAAATCCACACCAGCTTGCTGAGTAAAACCTTGTGCAACCAGACTTGCCTTATAGTGCTGAACTGACCCATCAGCATTAAATTTTGTTTTATAAATCCATTTAGACCCAACCACATTTTTACTAGCATTAAATGGAACTAAATCCCAAGTATGATTATCAATAAGTGCATTAAACGCCTCAGCCATAGCAGCTCTCCACCTAGCATCTTTGTTTGCCATAGAAAAACATGAAGGATCACATGCCGAAATCTCTGTTTTGAGAGTAAAAATGTTTTTGGGTTTTAAAATTCCTACCTTGGCACGAGTTAGCATAGGATGGCAATTTTTAGGAGAAGGTGCAGGTGGAGAAGGGATCGGGCTCGGGCTCGGGCTGTTGTCGCTCATGATTTGGTCAGAGAGGGGCGGCTGTGGTGAGGCTGTGGGTTCGTCAGAGGTGGCAGTCTGCTGCTGGTTGCGGTCTGAGGTGTTGCTGCCATCCGAAACAGTTGATTGGGGGGTTGGGGTGCTGCTACCGGCCGCAGCGGTGGAGTGGTGGGTTGGAGTGACCGGAGAAGCTGGGGAGTGGATGGGGTGCTGCCGCGGGTTGCTGGGCGCTGTAGAAGGCAATAGAAATGGCCGGAAGTTATGAAGTTCATGCATACTTACCGGGCTGTCGATGGGCATCGTGGAAGTGTCCTTTTTACGTGCAGAAACCAAATCGGAATAAGGAAAATAATTTTCAAAGAAGCGCACATTCCGATTTCTGTAAATCTTGTCAGTAATAGTATTAAAGTAACGATAACCTTTGTATTCGGGGACATATCCTACAAAGACACATAAGGTGGATCTAGGAGGTAGTTTATTGGCAGAAGTAGCATTAAAATTTGGAAAACAGGCACAACCAAACACACACATAAAAGAGAAGTCGGGGGACTGGTGGAATAATTTTTCAAAAGGAGATATGCCATTAAAATTTGGAGTAGGGAGCCGATTAATAATAAATGTTGCAGTAAACACGGCATCTACCCAAAAATTAGCTGGCAATTTTGCATCAAAGAGTATAGTGTGAGTTAATTCAAGTAAATGCCTGTGTTTGCGCCAAGCTACGCCATTTTGTTCAGGAGTATGGGGGCATGATTTGCGAAATAAAATACCATTTTTGGTAAAAATATCGCGCATAGCATGATTGTCAAATTCACCCCCTCCATCACTTTGAAAATTTTAATTAAATTCTAGCATCAAGTAAATTTTCCACCATGGCTTTAAAATGTTGAAAATGTCTCACTACTTCACTTTTATTTCGCATGAGATAAAGCCAAGTAAAACGGGAAAAATCATCAATAAATAAAACATAATATTTAAAGCCACTTGAAGAAAGAACAGGAGATTGTCAAACATCAGAATGAATTAAAAACAAAGGAACAGTAGATTTAAGCCACACTTCTTGAAAAGGTAACCGTTGTGATTTTCCTAACCGACAAGAAATACAATCGTGAGAAAAATTAGAAGTACTAAGAACACTACCAGATTTTTTTAATCTATCTAGAATAAGACTTCCACAATGGCACAAACGACAATGCCAAATTGGTCCGGGAGTAGCTTCAGAACTGAGAGCAACTGGGGATGGATGGGTGATAGAGATAGGATAAACGCCACCATTACTGAAAGCTTGGAGGAGCACCTTCCCCGAAATTGTGTCCTTAACACAGACATAATTTTTATCAAAAATTACAAAACACTTATCATCGGCACACAATCGTTGGATGAAGAGAAGATTATATTTAAAATTAGGCACATGGAAAACCGATTTTAAATGGAGAGGTCTCGGCTTAGTAGCTAAATGCAAATTACCAGTAGTAATAACAGGAGGATTAGATCCATTAGCAACTGTAATTTTTAGTGGTCCAGAATAAATAGATTTATTGTGCAAAATACCTTCATTTGGAGTCATGTGAGCGGAAGCACCGGAATCAGGATACCACACAGCTGGAGTGGCTTCGCCAGTAGAAACAGCTAAGGTAGGAGCCTGAGCTTGAACAAAACGAGACGGACACGCTACATCTGAATGACCTGGAGAGTGACACGTTTGACAAAACGACAGGTGGAGGGACTGAACCAAAATTATTCTCAAAAGATGGAGATCTTGCAGAGGCATAATTAGTACAAAAAGTAGAGAGCGCAGGAGTATAAAACGATGACTTAACTGAATTAGAAAATACAGTACCGGATCCCCATTTTTGTTGATGATGGGCTCCTCTAGCTTGTGCCGTCGGCTGATAGTGCTGCTGTTCGGGACCAAAATACGGCTGGGGTTGCCCGTACTACTGCTGCGGTTGGTAGCGGCCACGCCCCCAGCCGCGGTTACCACGCCGTCCGCCACACCCGCTCCTGTCGGGCTATTGCTGCTGATTCTCGGACATCGCACGACCACGGCCAGGCTACTGGTTCGAATGGTCTCCGTGAGCGGGTGCAGCAAGCGCCGGGATTGTTCATGAAGGTTCCAAGGACTGTTGATAGCGTAAGCGGGCTTCTTGATGAACAATTTCGTGCCTAATTTGTCAAAAGTTAATCCTTCAGGAAACAAGGTAAGGGGCCCCACGAGTGACTCACATCCCGGTCCCAATCCCAAAAGTGTATATTGAATAAGATCAGCATTGGAAACCGGGGAATTGATGGAGGCTAAAATATCAGCAATAGTCTGAATGCCGCGAACATATTCCTCCATGGACTGATTCTCCTTCTTCTTGTGAGATAACATTTGTTTTAACTCCATGGAGCGTGCTAGACTGGCAGCCATAAATCGAGACTCCAAACGTTGCCAGATTGCAGAAGAATTTTTCAAGGTATGAACCTCCATTAGAATTTCTCGAGATAAGGTAGCAAACAGCCAAGCATGAACAGTTTGGTCCAATTTCAACTAATGATAATATTCAGGATTAACAGATTGAGTCTGATATAAATCATAGGTATACAAAGGCGGAGCAGGTAGAGACCCATCAAGATTGCCTAAAAGACCGTTAGCCACCCAAAAAGACTCGAACTAAGTACGCCAGGGTAGTTAATCTTCCACTTTGAGTAATTTTGAGGTCACAATTTGGGCAATTGAGGCCCCAAAAATCATGCCTTGAGCCAAAGTTGCAAAGGAAACTTGCATGTTGATGGTGGATGTGCTGCAGCCGATTCTCCCGGATGATTGCGACAAGAGGAATCCCGGACTGCCGGACAAGGTTGGACCGGCAAACCGGGCCACGGCTGCTGTGCTGGACTCGGCTCCGGAGTTAGTCTGAAAAAGCGGCGGCGGTAGAAGGGACAGTGGAGTTGGAGTCCACGTGAAGATCGGCGGAACCCAAGTGGAGCTCAGCGGCGTCGGTGGCAGAATTCCCGGCGGCGGCGGCGGTCGTGAGAGGGGAAGACATCTCGCGAAAAAAATAAATTAAAACTGGCTAAAACCTAGAGCTCTTGATACCATGTGAGAATAATGAGAAGGCTTACCAATGTGGTAGCCCTAGGTGTCATATATATAAGAAAAAATGTCCTGAATACATTAGGAAACTTAATAAAGATGGAAACCTAATTAATGGTATTAATTACTCTATTAATTGTTCCCGGTCTTTCTAGCATACAACTGTTCAAGCTTGTTCCACAAAGTGCGAGCATGAGTCTCTCCGCTGATATATGGTTCAAAACATTATCATCAACCCATTGACGAATATGCCCACAAACCTGTCTATGCAAAATATTCCACTCTGCATCTGTTTTACTCTTAGGTTTTTCAGTATTAAACAAATTTATTTGAAGCAAAAGATGAAAAGCGATGAAGTTAGTAAGATCCTGCCCCCAATACACTCTTTTTCTGGATCCGCCATTGCCTGTATTAGTGGGATCAGTACACCGTGCTGCACATGGTGTAACTATCGCACAATATAATTTGTCGTCATTGAGTGTATACGTACAATTTTAAACCAATAACAACAAGAAACTATAATGGTGTGTAGATTAAAAAAATATACCTTGTATTATTACACACATGATTTGGAGCCCGTTTGGGAACCATGTTTTTCGGTTTATCAGACTTATTAGCCAATTCTTTCACCAAATACGTAACTTCTGATTAAGCGCTGAATTGTGTAATAATAAGAAAAAGTAAAGTTTGAGTTTCTTTTCGGGTTGGATTGACTGAACTTACTATAGATGACCATTTTAGCTATTTTTTATATAATTTTTTTGCTTTATTTTATTAATAAATGAAGTAATTACATAAATATAATCAAAATAAAGATGGTTTACCAAAATATGATTAGTTAGTAGAGTAGTAATGAAATCATAGAAATTCATGTTCAAATTTTGAACTTAAGTTACCACAACACTAAGTTGTAGTAATGAATAATCATATTTATGTAAATAAGTTTTATTTTAGTAATATTCTTGTAAAAAACTCTTAATAAATATATTTGATTTTTTTCCGTAAATTAGAAAAATCACCCAATCCAGGCACTTCAGTCATAACTTCAAAAATTTCAATAGAATCAGTTGATTCAGTCGATTTTGGTATTACCAAGTAGGCTGTTTATGCGTAGACATGTAACAACTTTGACTTAATTATGGTTGGTTACTCACACATTGTTACACCTATCATAAGTGTTGTGTTGGAGAAAGGCATTCCCTACACGGATATGTACTTTTATTTACACATATGTATATTGGTAAAACCTCCATTTTAAATAATTTGATCTGTGAAAATCTTGTATAGTGAAATAATGTTAAAATCATTTGTGGGAGATCAGCGTTTTTAAATCATTTGTTGGTCACCGACTCACTCTCCCTTAAGAAAGTTCCCGGGTTCAATACTCAATGAAGTGAGTTGGACAGTTTACCCCCCCCCCCCCCCCCCCCCCCCCGAGTGCCTATGATAACCGCTTTCGCAGCGTTGTAGTAAAACGGAGTCTAACCTTTCGGTTTTTCCCCGAGTATCGTGTCTCTCGAGGAATGGTGGAGGAGCTTCTTGATTTCAAGTCCAGTCACAGGTTATCGCAAATTATTGGAAGCTTTCCAAATTAAAACTTTTGATTGATTTTCTAAACTACTTTTTGGAAAAGAAAGTAAATTAAATTGTGCAAATACTAATGATGGCTCAAAAATAGACTAAAGGAAGAAATATAATATTAAACTTAAATGGATTGGTGCAAATAAGGGCAATGAATTGAGTAATTAGAAATGGATATATTCTTGGACCTAGTAATTAGGGAAATTAAAACTAAAATTGGACTAATAATTTCTTTCCTCATAGACAAGAATAGAAACTATTTTCATTAATTTATCCTATTTCTAGGTGTCATTAATGTGTTAAAAATGGTTGGCTTGAATTAAATTCTAACCTCATAGACAAGGTAGAAATAATTCTCCAATATTTTAATTAATAAAAATAGCCAAATTCATTAACTAGTTAAACTCATTAATTAAGCAATTGAATTTATCTCTCATAGACAAGATGTAAATCCCTTTCATTAAATTATCCTATTTCTAGGCCTTATTAATGTGCTCGAATATGGTTGGCTTAAATTATTTTCTAATCTCATAGACAAGTTAGAGATAATTTTCCAAGAATTTAATTAATGAATATGGCTAAAAATTATTAATTACTATTTCATCATTTCAAACAACTAGTCCCCATTATTAATTTTAATCCCTAATTTTTTTGGTCAACAAGTCAATCCATATTCCTTTAGTCAATTCATGCCCAAAACAAATTTAGCTAATAAAGATCATTTTAACAATTAACAATATAATGAATATATTCAACATTAACAAGGAATTAAACATGGATGATAGCAAAACTTATATTCTGGAACAATAAACTTGTAGAAACTAAAGTATAACTTTCTGGAATTTTTCACGAATTTGTGAACCTAAAATCCAATTTTAACAACTAATTGATAATTTTCCCAATTTTAACTAGAAAATGCAAAAAGCAACTAAAATTATTCTAAATTCGTTCTAACTTTTATATTGACTACAGGGAGTGATATTACTGTGAATTAAACTGGAATTAGGACAGAAACTAATTTGTTTACATTTTGGAGTATTTAATTTAATTCATGCAATAATAACAACTAAATGCCGGAATTAATTAAAATTTACTTCTATTTCGTAAAAATTAAATTTCTTTTGATAAATAACTACCTTGAGGCTAGTAAACAACTATATAATTAATTGGAATGGATTTAATGTCAACAACTATTTTATTCAAATTTAAGAAGAAAATGCGAAATAGTGGAATAATTTTCTGAAAATTTTAGAAGCACAGATAGAAAAAACTAAGTACAGATTCAGATTCTACTCATTCAAAGGATGAAAATACATATAAAGAACTCACAATTTGGAGCTAAAATGAGAAAGATATGAAAGTTTGAAGTTGAAGGTAACAATGGTGGGAATCCGAGCTTTGAGGAGGAAGAAGACGTCCTTTTTGATCTGATTTGGGCTTGAAATTGGTGTGTTTGAGATGGGGAAAAAGCCTGCTATTTATAGCCCAAAATTTTCCGAAGGCACCCAGTTAGGCGGCCGCCCTTCGTCCAGCTTTGGCCGCCCTCCGTCTTGTCGCCGGCAAACCGACGTGCGCCGGTCTTCGTCAGCCGCAGGCGGTCCAGAAGGCGGCCGCCTGCCGTTTCTGTCTGGCCGCCTGCCGTCGAATCGCACCGGCCGGTGGTTGGCTTCGTCCCCTTGTGCCGCAGGCGGCCACTGAGGGCGGCCGCCCTCCGTCCTCCGTCGGCAGCCTTCCGTCTTCTGCTGGTTCGGGTCAAAGTCAACGGTGGATTTCTGATTTTTCAAAGGCGGCCAAGCAGGCGGCCAGATTGGGGGCCTTTTTGGGCGCCTTCTGCTAGTTCGGGTCGAAGTCAACGGTTGACTTCTGATTTTTCAAAGGCGGCCAAGCCGGCGGCCAGATTGGGGGCCTTTTTGGGCGCCTTCTGCAAGTTCGGGTCAAAGTCAACGGTCGACTTCTGCTTTTTCAAGGGAAAGTTCCCGAAATGGGACTAAAAAAGTTTGAAAATTCCAAAATAGGACTGTCACGTTTTTATTCCCAATATAGGACTAATTACTGCCAAATTTGGAAAATACTGCCATGTTTGAAGTCTGATACTGCCAAAACATGACAGTAATTAGTCCTATTTTGGGAATAAAAACATGGAAGTCCTATTTTGGAATTTTCAAACTTTTTTAGTCCCTTTTTCAAAGGCGGCCAAGCAGGCGGCCAGATTGGGGGCCTTTTTGGGCGCCTGCTGCTAAATTTGTCTGGCAAATGCTGCGTTTCCTGCTCTTCAAGATTGTCTTCTGGATCACTTTGAAATAATGTTTGCTTCTCCCGGTATGAATTCATTTGTTACTCAAATTGACTTATTTTGTGCTCAATTGACCCGAAATTCCGACAAACATATTATGAATGTGATTTTCACCTGATTTAATGAAACTTGAACCAAAATATCTAAAACATTCCTTTTCTTTCTATTTTCAATCAAAAATCACTTAAATTTGATAAGAAAAATAAGTACAAAAATGGACTTATCAGCCTATATCGCACATCCAGCTGTACAATGAGCACCGTACAGTCGGCGACATTTTTGTAATTTAAATGAAATTCGCGGCTTCCGCTAAATGAGCATTGATGCACTTTTAGTGAACATCATTCATGTTGAGTATTAGCAGCCTAACAATGAGAATCATGATCTCTACTTTATATCTTCTAATTCACTTTCTTTTTTCTTTTTTCTTTTATAAAAACCCATTAAATTATATTTATACTCAACTCTTATGAATTTCAATATTTAAATCTAATGTAATATGGTACTTGTGAAACATGTATTGATATAACATTTTAAAAATGAGCATAACATCAATACCAAATGAGCATTCCTATCTTACAACAATGAGTACTACACCAATATCAAATGAGCATACATATCTACAAAATGAGAATGAAAAAATTCAAAAGGCTCATTTATAAACTCTAGTATTTTCAAATATTAAATGAGAATACTACATAACATATGAAATGAGCATTGGAAAATTTAAAATGAGCATTACACCAATATGCATGGATATAGCATTTTAAAATGTATGTGTAATGCTAATGTAAAATGAGCATCACACCTATATCAAATGAGCGTGACACCAATACAAAATGAGCATCGAATAATTTATAAAACTCATTTAAAATGTCTAGTATGCTCAAATATCAATTTGTGTATGCTCATCTCAGTATAACATAAAGAAGCACCGGTTCCTTATTTCAGACCAACCAATTTTATTGTGCTTATTTTTCAAAAGTATACCAATACACGTTTAATTTAAATAATATACTCATATTTTTTTAGAAAGTTGGAGCATTTAATAGAAGAGTGAGAGAAGTATATGTTTTTATTGAATTGCCATTCCATATGATTATTTGAAAGGCATATATAAAAAGGAAAAATGGAAACAGAAAAAAGAAAAAGAAAAGTTAAAGTAAAAAAATTAAAGTTATAAATTAATGGAAAAGAAAAAAGATAAAGAAAAGTTAAAGTTGGAAATATTAAAGTTCAAAACTAAAAGAAAAGAAAAGAAAAAAAAAAGAAAAAAAAGAGAAGAAGCAACCAAAGAAGATAAAAGAAGTTGGAAGAGCAAATCGGAAGGTCGAGAGTCTGTCGGAAGGACACAGGGACGGAACTATGTATATGTCTAGGGGGGCCATTGCCCCTCCCAACATTTTTATTTTTTTAATTATTGGCTTGTAATTTATTTTTTTGCCCCCCCCCCCCCCCTAAATTTGTATTTCCTCTAGTAGTATAGTAGTTCAAAATATGTTTATAGTTATACTCCGTACTATGTTTATAATTTTTTAATACTTCATTAAAATATCATATGTATAAAAACATTATAAGTAGTATATTCTAGAAGTAGTCATTTTGGAAAATATTAATCTATAACAACACTATATTTTGAAGAAGTGATTATTACTCCATAAATAATACTCGGTACTCCGTATGTAAAAATATATTATTAATAATATATTATGGAGTAATATTGGAGATATCCGTCTTAAAGTATCAAATATAAAAGAAATATAAGAAAAAATTGAGATACTAATTTAATAAACTTTAAGAGAAGTATATTATGTAATACTCCCTCCATCCCTTAAAACTTTGACATCTTTCTTTTTCGGGACGTCCCAAAAAATTTTGCCACTTTCCCTTTTAATCAATTATTTTGTGGTTTCTATTATTTCTCTCTCCTCTGCACAAACCTCAATCACACAGCTTTTACTTTATTATTCTCCGTGCCGGTCAACTTTGGCAAAGTTTTAAGGGACGGAGGTAGTAGCATTTTGCCCCCCCCCTACCCTCACCTCCTGGCTCCGCCCCTGGAAGGACATAAGAAAGTTGGAAGAGAAACAAAAGAAAAATAAAGAAAGCTAATACCCATCTCTGTAATTAATAACATCCGTTTTGCAAGTAATTATAAAAACACATGGTTGTACCAAAGCACACGGTACGTCCGGGTTTATGGTATATTTTGCCCCCGACCCCCCGAGGTAAAAAAAGAAGAAGATCACAGAAGTGGAATTGGATGTGTGGTTGAAAATTGTGTAGATAAGAGAAAAAATGAATGAATCACACTTTCCTCACCATAAAAGGAAACTAAAGTTTATTTTGAAACAAATGGAAAAGAAAAAAAAAATCTTTTGAGAGGAAGGTAGTATTAAATATCTGTAGTAGTTAGTTTTTAAGGAAGGTAGACATATTATGAAAGTAAAAATTAAGTATGAGAGGATAGGAAGGAGCAGCCTTAGCTTATCAAACATTTTTACTATTGTTATTATATATATTATTATACAACTTGCAGTACATACAAATACAATGAGAGGCGAGAACTAACGTTCGGCAAATGAAAACGACAATATAGCAGCTAGTAGTCTTAATAAGCATATATATGTGTGTGTGTGTGTGTGTGTGTGTGTGTGTGTGTGTGAGGTAAAATGGACAATTTAAGATGGTAAAATGAAATCGGCTAGCGAGAAATACATCTCCCGGAAAAGTAGCCATCACATTTATAGTTAGGGCAACAACCGTGTTGCAAACCACAAGTGCCACCCGCTCCAACACAGGTGCAGGAGCCGTTGGTCCAAGCACTACAATAGCCTTGGCAACAAGTCTTTTTCCAGTCACAATATTCACGGTCGTTCTGGCACCAATCACCCTGCACCATTTCCCGGATACTAAATGTGCCTTGAGGTTTCGTACCCAACACCAACAACAACAATGCCACACTTGAAATTACCACCTTTGACCTCATCTCCATCTTTCTTAATTATATATCAACCGACATATGTACTTTATATCCAATTCCAAATGTATTGTAACCAATTAATTAATTATATGCAACAGCAGTGTGTGCCTTCCTCTTTTATATTCAATTTATGTCGTCCTCGATCTTGTTATGCATCACACATTTGATCTGAGAAGTTTTATCGTTGATCAAATTAAGACGTCATAACTAGCTTGATAACATGTCCCATACATATACACCTTTTCTATTTGTGCATGCCGAATGCATTCTCTCTTTTGCCTCTTACAAATTAGCTTGTGGAACTCTTAATCCTCTTCTCTTTCAATTTATTCCGCATATATATAGATATTTTTGATAAGGTACCCGAGTTACTTTAAGATATAGTGTATCTGTTAGCTCCAAAGGCTCATTAAGATGTTGAATTTATTTCCCCTCCTTATGATCAATTACTGATTTGAATTGTATCACAAGGTGTAAAATATTACTTCAAAGGCAATTATTACATAGACATAATACTCTAATATATGTGACCTTGAGATTTTTTTGAAATAACATTTTAATTAGTAGAGATTTATAACAAAGTGATCTTGGCTCTATCGCTCCAAAATCATTGTGTTGACCGTGTAGCACCAAAGTTGACCTATAAAATACAGACAAAAATATCCTACAAAACATTTTAATAGCTTGAGACACATTAATCGAGTAATTGTTGTCCTAAAGAATTATTTCCGGTAAACGAAAATTTCCCCAAAATATAATGATTCTTTCGATTATAAAACCGGTGCCAGACTAATGAGAAAATAACTAATATAGTAATATATAAACCCAATTGTATTTTTTTTATATAAAATTTGATAAAACAAAGAAAGTGCAAAGATGAAAAGGATGCTTTGAATATTATATTCGTAGTATATATTTGTTCCGATTACAATGGGCTATATTTATACATGCACGTATGGTGCAGTAGAAGGAAAGAATAATTGAAAGTAAATGCAAATTAAACAAGGCAATCAAGCCATATACAAAACTAAAATATTTGTTCCTCATAATATGTGCCCCTGATCCAGACTTGCCATATATGGATTTATTTGGTCACGCAATACTCCCCCTCAAGTTGGAGTATGGAGATCCCGAATACCCAACTTGCCACTGAGAAAATT